GGCAGTCTAAGTTGCAGAAGTGTGTTGCACTTTCAACAACTGAAGCAAAGTACATTGCCGCTATAGAAACTAGCAAGGAGATGGTATGGCTCAAACGGTTCCTTCAAGAGCTTGGATTGCATCAGAAGGAGTATGTCGTCTATTGTGACAGTCAAAGTGCAATAGACCTTAGCAAGAACTCTATGTACCATGCAAGGACCAAACACATTGATGTGAGATATCATTGGATTCGAGAAATGGTAGATGATGAATCTCTAAAAGTCTTGAAGATCTCTTCAAGTGAGAATCCCGCAGATATGCTGACCAAGGTGGTACCAAGGAACAAGTTCGAGCTATGCAAAGAACTTGTCGACATGCACTCAAACTAGAAGACAGTGCTACCTCCTCTAGATGAATGAGACCGGAGGGGGAGATTGATGATGCCCATCTCATTGAAGAAGTATTAGGCATGTGCCTAATAAAAGTTTTTTTGGTTTGGTAGCCAACCTTGTTGACTTGGTTTNNNTACCGTATCTCGGTGCTATATTATTATTCCGCTTTTATTACTGTGAATATTATTTCTATGGGGGTTTATTCTCGACATTAACTTGTACTATGTTCCTTTTACAAAACCTTTTAGTAAATTAGAATATTGTATTGGTAAATTTCAATTGAAACGGAGAAAATTTTCAAATATGCTCTTGTACAATCTGAAATTGCTTAATATTTTTTGTCCTTCGTTACATTTTGTGTTCATTTAAATCTCACAATTACAAATTGCCTTATCATTAACAGAGTTCCCACGCGAATTAGATGAACTCTACGCCTCCAAATTCTTTGGAAACAAAAGGTTAAAATTTACCATTCAACTTTTGATTATGGTTTGAAATTACCTTTCATGTTAAAGGGAATTAGGAGCCCGTTTGGCCATGAATTTTTTTTCACTTTTTCTTGAAAAAGTTTCACTTTTTATCGAAATTAATGTTTGGTCATAAAATTTCCAATTTTCACTTGAAGATGAATTTTGAAATTTTTCGGAAATTTGAAAAACTTCAAAAGGCTATTTTTCAAAACTTTCACTCAGATAACTAACAAAAATTCAAAAACAACCCAAAATTATACCCATGTCTAAATACAACTCTAATTTTTAGATACCATTTTCTTTTAAAAAATTTCCCACTTTTTTCGGAATTTTACAATTTGTATGTCCAAACGCCCACTAGGTTTTAAAGGTAAAAATAAGACTTCTTTTCTAACTGCGAGGGTAATATTATCAAAGTCTAACATAGGACAAAGTTACTCAGATTGTACGTAAGCAAATTTGACCATTTCGATTAGAATTGTTCTTCCGTATCATCTAGGCTTATAGAAAGATATATGTAATAAACGTGTGATGTACTTAATACGAAGGACAATTTGTATGATTTTATCCTATTAATAAAAGCAAGAGATAATTAATATAGCATGTAGGACAAAGATTAATTAAAGAGGTGTTCAGCTCTCAATTCTACGACTCGACGTATGTATCACAACAAATCGACGTACATTTAATTTTTGTGTTCATCAACACGATATTCAAGATCAATATATGAATTCCTACAAAAGCTAGGCTATATATTTTATTTTTATTGTACTTTTTCTGGGGTGAGATGAGATTTTTTCTATAGAATATTCGGCAAAAAATCTGACTAAATCGAAGTGTTTGAGAAAATCGATATTTTATCCAAATTTAAAGGGGATACATAATCTTATTAGCCGGACAGCTATATGTCCCTAGTTTTGGTTGAAATATTTGGAGATTAAAGAGTAGAAGTGATTTTTGGAAAAATTCACATGCTCTCTTGTTATTTAGACTTGAAACTCTACCTAATAGTGTTGATTAATGGAAGAATTTATATGTTCGGAAACATAGGTGATAAAAGATTGTACAATTTTGTATTGAAGTATAATGTAAATAAGAGTTTAACTTTTATATACTATTATATTAATTTTTTTATGATATTAGGTCACCTAATTAAAAGATAATAATTACATGTAATCGTCCATATATATATAGAATAATTAATAAATTAAAATAAAGCAAGATAATTTATCTACTACATGCAACAATGTACACATGCATAGTTGACTGGAGACAAAAAGTCAGCTTCCACAAGATCATACTCGAAAACCCATGCTATGTATCCAGAGCAAGAAACAGAAAAAGAGTTTGTTATACAAATAATCGATCGGGTTCAATGTTTATTTTTTGTAATAGATATACATAAATTATATATTAGTTATACACAATTATATATATTATATATGAATTATACATATATTCATTATATATCTGCCAACTATTTTTAATTTAAGAGATTAGGTGGCCGGCATGCACAAATTGAACATTGATTATATACATATAATTATACATACATTATACATTTACATGTTATTTTTTGTTTAAGTGATTAGGTAGCTGGTATACATAGATTATACATTGATTATACATAGTTAGACATATTATATACATGAATTATACATCTACCGGCTATTTTTGGTTTAAGAGATGATGTGGGTGACTATTTGGGTTAATTCTTTTTAAAAAAACAATCAATATCACAATATTACTATATATACGGTAGAAACGTTTTTCCTATTCATAATCTTGCAGGTTACTTGTATGGTATACTTGAACACCACACTTAGGCAAAATGGACCACTTCCTCCTCTCTATTGCAATCACACTTGCTATAATCATCAAATTTTTATTCAAATATTCCCTTGCCAAGCCTAAAGAAAAACTCCCTTTAGCTCCAGGGACTTTTGGTTGGCCAATTATTGGAGAAACCATAGAATTCCTTGTATCACTTCGTTATGGTTTGGTCCATGAATTTGTTCAAAAAAGAACCAAAAAATACAAATCCAATGTCTTCAAAACCTCATTACTTGGCCAAAATGTAGCTATATTTTCAGGTCAAGAAGCCAATAAATTCATATTCAACAATGGCAACAAACTTGTCATTGGTTGGAGACCTTCTTCTATTCAAAAACTCTTCCCTTCTACATCATTTGTACCCATAGAACATGACACAAAAAGGGCACAAAATGTTATGAGTTATTTCTTGAACTCACAAAATGTAGATAGTCTCATTAGTACTATGGACATTATGTCACATTTACACTTAGAAAATTATTGGAAGGGGAAGAATGAAGTGATTGTATATGATTTAGTGAAGTTATTTACTTTCTCTCTTTCTACTAGAGTATTTATGGGGATCGAAAACTCCGATAAAATCTTGAATCTTTATGAAAAATTCAATATTTTTTCGCGAGGTCTTTTGGTAATGGACATAAAGTTTCCTGGTACAACATTTTATAAGGCAATGAGAGCAGGGAAAGAATTAAGGAAAGAAATGAAGGCCATTTTTGAAGAAAGAAGAGTAGAGTTACAAGAAAATCCAGATCTTCCAAAAGTTGATGTGTTAACAAAAGTGATTACTGAACAAGACGAAAACGGCAAGTACTTGACAGAAGTTGAAATGGCTGATAAATTATTTGGATTTATTGTTGGTGGTTATGATACTACTGCTACAACTATAACTTTGGTCATGAAGTACCTTAAAGAGAAACCTGAGTTCTTCAATGGAATAATGGAAGGTATTTCTTTCTCTTCGAATTAAATTGCACGATCTATAGGTTAAAGGTTTGAGTCGTAAAAGCAGTTACTAATACTTGCATTAGGGTAGGCTGTCTATATAACATTCCTTAGGGTGTGACCCTTCCTGAACCCTGTATAAATACGAGATACTTTGTGTATCGGGGTGCCCTTATTTAGTTAAGCAAAAATACAAGAGTTTTGAGTTGTAACAAAAATACCGGGCCTATTACATGTCATTATTTTATTTTCAATCTATCATATAAAGTTTGTTATGAAAATTTATGTTGTTGTAAGTAAACTTAACCCAACGGTGTAAAAAATTTACACATAGTCATTTGTTATAGCATACCACCTGCCTTACCTTTAGTATCACAATCTCACTTTTAGATGAATATTTGTAGTTATCTTTTTGATTAAATTGATAGTGTAATTTTTTTTTATACATTGTCCGTATATATATATATATATATAAGTAAAAGTAAGCTCTTCCATTTATGTATTACGGATAATTATCTATAATTAATTACCTTCTAAATGACCTGATAAAATTAAAAACTCTACCCGATTAGCGTACATAAGTTAAACTCCATTCTAAATTCTGCCAAAACAAAATTCAATCCCTCACAAAAAATATTGAAGAATTAACCTAAATATCTGACAATCTTATCGCTTAAACTAAAACTAGCCAGTGAATGCATAATATATGTATAAATCATGTATAATATATATATATANAAGATCCCAAAAATGTAGCCAAAATAAAACATTGACCTTTTTTATCCAAACGTCTCTAAATGCTTGGGTTCTAGAAATGAAGTTCTACAAAACATTCCCTCTATAGCCTCTCAAAATTTTAATAGCCCTTATTTTTTCCTACTTACACGAAATGACTCTTCGGCCCAAACATATTACATCTAATAGCCTGAAATGTCTATTTTGTATATTTTTTATATAGTGACAGTCTATTTTGTATATTTTTTGTATAGTGACAGTCTATTTAGTATATATTTTGTATAGTGACAGTATATTTTATATATTTTTTGTATAATGACAGTCTAGTTTATATAATTGTATAGTGACAGCCTATTTAGTATATTTTTGTATAGTGACAGTCTATTTTGTATATATTTTGTATAGTCACAGTCTATTGTATATAAATTATATAGTAATAGTCTATTTTAGTATATTTTTTGTATAGTGACAGTCTATTTTGTATATATTTTGTATAGTCACAGTCTATTGTATATAAATTATATAGTAATAGTCTATTTTAGTATATTTTTTGTATAGTGACAGTCTATTTAGTATATACATTGCATAAATTTGTATATAGAATGTATCTTTCATCTTGCAATGTATACATAATATATCATTAATGTATCCCGGGCGCTTTTATGTATCCAAAGTGTATATATAGACTGTTCTACAATATATAAATTTTGTATATATAAAGTGTATCGTGCATTTTACAACATAGTGATATAGCAAAATGTATATATGAAAGATGTTCTAGAATTTAATATTGTGTTAAAAATTATAATGATGGTAGTTATTGACAATTTATATCCATTATATAGTATTTATTTGAATGTACATTTATGTTCTTTGTATGTAAAGGAGTATCGATTTAAAGAGCGAAGAACATATTATTGTGTATTAAATAAATAAATAAACCTATGAAACGAAAACCATAACAATAAGAATATATTACTTTGAAGATGACGGACTGCTTTCGTTTACATAATCTTTTGATATGTACATAATCTTTACATAATCTACAACAACGAAAATTAAAAATAATTTACATAATCTTTTGATAATAAGAAAAAATTAGGTACCTAAAATGACATGAAAATTACTAAATGACATGATACAATTTTACGTTTTGACAAAATTACTAAAGTTGCTATTTCAACTTTAAAAATAGACTCTTTTGATATGTGTGGATATGGTGTCATTATATTGAAAATTGTATCCACCGTAACCATGGGATAAAATGATTCTTTTTTCTCGTTTATTGCTTTACTTAGATACGGTCTAGCTAGAATCTTCAAATTGAAAATATCTTTGGATTCTGTTTCACCTGATCAGAGATTTGATTTGTGCGTTCAGTTTCACAACCATAAAGACAATGATTTCTGAAAATTTTGCTTTGGTTCGTTGAATCATAGCCACCGAATTTAGTGGCTACGGAGTTGAAAAGTTTGAAATTTGAAGGGAAAGTGGCAACGGTTTTGGGCTATTAATTGTATGGTTTATTTTGTGGCTACAGATTGTCATTAGTTTTTTTCCGGATGGCTACGAATTGATTCTCTTTATCAAAGGCGGATTCAGAATTTAATGTTTATGGATTCCTGTCACAATCTCAAATTAATATACATTAATAACTGAGTTCACAATTAGATATCTATGATATATAGTGGAATTTTTTTTTATAAAAATACAAGGTCTACACAAAAGTTACTGGGTTCTTGAAAACTCATACTATATACTCTAGATCCACCACTGCTCTTTATCATGGCAAACGAAATGGGGATTCTTTGTATGAATATTCTTAAAATTTTCTGACTTTTTCAAATTGGGGATCTAAAATGACAGAGCAAAATGAGATTGCAAGGAATATGATGCCAAGGATAGTGCTATGCTGGGATGACATTCAGAAAATGAGGAAAACTTGGAGCTTTGTGAATGAAGTACTAAGAGACACACCAGTTGTTCAAGGCCTTTTCAGAGAGGCCATAGAGGACATCACTTATAATGACTTCCTCGTACCAAAAGGATGGAAGGTACGTACTCTTCCACCTTTTAATGGAAAGTTTGATAGGACGGTGCAGAGATTGAGAATTAGGGTAGAGAGTTAGTTGGTACTCGAACGTTTTTTCGTTTCCATACGGCCAGCAATATTAGTGTTAGTCTTGTATTCCATAATTCTTAGATTTCTATTATTAAACGTTGTTTCATTCGCTTCGTTTTCTTATTATCTTTTAGTTGTTATTGCTTGTTGCTACTGGTTTCTTTTCATCTTTCTTTGAGCCGAGAGTCTATTGGAAATAGTCTTTCTACCTTTTCAAGGTAAGGGTAAAGGCTGCGTACATAGAGGGTGTTTGGCTAAGCTTATAAGCTGGTCAAACTGGCTTATAAACACTTTTTGGCTTATCTACGTGTTTGGTAAAATTGAAAGTGCTTATTAGCCAAAAATAAGCCAAAAGCCATAAGTTGGTCTCCCCCAACTTATCAAATTTCAGCTTATAAGCACTTTAGTTTTGACCAAAATATTTACTATTCTATCCATGAAATACTTCTTTTTAAAACAAAACTCTTCGTATACTCAATTCTTCAGCTCCTTATTATTAATTTCAACACTTTTATCCAAACAGGTAACTGTTTATTTTTTAAATCTGCTTCAGCACCTAATGCTTATCAGCTACACTAAATCAGCTAAGCCAAACAGGCTCATGCTACCTTTCTCAAACCCCGCTTGTAGCATTATATTGAGTTTTGTTGTTGTTGCTATTGGTGTTGTTGTTGTTGTTGTTGTTCTGATTAATTTTTAGTGTATATAACTAAAGGGTCGTTTAGTTTGAAGGAAAGCTAAGCTACGATTAGTTCTACTGGGATTAGTTATGCTGGAAATTAGTTATATTGGTATTATTTCTTACTGACTGTTTGGTATGTTTTATTAATCCTGGGATTGTCAATTTCATTGCTTTATCCTGAGATTATTATTCCACCCTCTGGCAAGTATAAGTATCCCTGTATTATTTTTAATCATGTGATAACTTATTCCAGGATTAGTAACCAAACAAAGGATAAAGCGGTACTAACTTTTTATCACATGATTATTTTTGCTTATTCATCGTACCAACGACCCCTAAAAGTTTTAATATCCCATTTCAGTAACTCTTCTCTTCTTTTTTACCTATTGACTTTCTGAGCATTTTTTTCTCTCTAAAATTTGCAGATATATTTGAGTTTTGGAGTCACACAGAAGAATGGTGAATACTTTCCAAACCCTACACAGTTTGATCCTTCTAGATTTGAAGGAAATGGACAGTTAGTTCCTTATACATCAGCTCCATTTGGTGTAGGACACAAAATATGTCCAGGAAGAGAATTTGCAAGAATACTGATTCTTGTTTTCCTTCATAATGTACTGAAAAACTTTCAGTGGGAAGCTAAGGATCCTTCAGAAAAGATATTGTGGCCTTATTTCCTAGTACCCATCCCCACAGCTGGATATCCTGTTACCCTTTCTACTGTGTGAGATTTTTTTGGTGGTCTGTCCCTTGCTCGGACCCCACACATAGCGGCAGTTTAGTGCACCAGCTGCCTCTTTATATTTAAATTATGCAAAAGGATGTATCCTAGTTAATGCTGACAACCAAACACTAAATAAAATTATGCATGAATTAGTTTTTCTTATGACTGGTTGACTGTTAGGCTCAAGACTGCTTTGACTACGGCTCTAGCTTTGGTGTTGCCTTCAAGATAGGGGTTGTATACAGTTTATTGTGACGCTTCGCGTGTTGGTTTTGGGTGTGTGTTGATGCAGGATGGTAGGCTGATTGCTTATGTATCGCGCTAGTTGACACATAGGCATATACCATCAATCCTCAGCTCAAACACAGAGATGACCTCATAATCTTTTTTGTTGAAAAAAAAAATCTATTATATAGGGGATTAGGGAAGCGAAAGGGGGAAGAGCAGAGCGTGAGAATTGAACCCACACCTACTGTGTATGACGTTGTTATCAATATCTATATACATACCAAGATGCAGCTAGCCATATGATTCTATCAAATTTTAAGAATCTGGTCTTTTAAAATGTGCCATTACCAATAATCCATAACCAATCCAGTGCAACACCACACAATATTCCAGCCAGTAGGCATAACACCAGCAAGTTGCCCAATGCATTTTGCTCAGGCCCCTGATGAAGCAGAATCAGTAAGTTTAAAACTTTAAGCAAACACTAACTAATGAAGAAATTAGAGTTTTTGTTTGTGTTTTGTATAGACTCTGGAAATAATTTTTACCAACCTTGTATCCCTGAGGAGCAACTGTGAGGACACAAACAGTGAGATAACCGTTGGTCAATCCTAGGACGGATACGAGCATTATCATCCAGCCCTGATCACCATACTTTGCAGTGAAGTAAAAACAAGGAATGAACAAGAAACGAGATAGTGTTGCGATCATTAGGCCCTTTCGTGATTTCAACTTGATTCTCTCGATTAGTGGAATATATCTTGCTATCAGATCGAACATGTTGTAGACTGCTATTAGGACTAAAGCGTACCTGAAACAAAAAGACCTTTCCTTTTACTGGCATAATTCATGTAGCAGATCAACCCTTTCATATACTCTATGTAATCGAATGTTTCTTGCATGCATGAGTTTTCTACAAAGTAATAATAGTCTACTGGAAGCGTCTTCTTCTAGTAATTAGTTTATTATTCAAGTTGTAGTTAAACCAACTTAAGTTTAACTCAAAAGCAGGTATTATCTATTTTTGGTGAGAATCCTAGGAACCTAGTTGATTCTGCACGTGCTCAAAATTTAGACCATGAAATCAGAGGTAGAGCCAGGATTTGATGTTTATGGGTTTTGAATTTATCACCGAACCCATAGCTCGTCTTAGTTACTAGGTTTGCAAGTAAATATTTTTACATATCCAATGAACTTTTTAATACAAATGCAGGGTCTAAGCAAAAGCTATTTCTGAACCCGTATGTCACACATTGGCTCCGGCCCTGCATGAAATGGTGTGCTATTTAAGATTTCAAGTTCAAAGCATGTTATTCCAATGTACTTACACAAGAATACTACTTCAGATTGAAATAGTTGTGTGTATGTGTTTTTTGTACTCTCTCTGTATATTTGCTTAAAAAGCCTACTCTTTTATGAAGGGAAACAGTTCGAGCGAGAAACTGAAAGGTGTAGCAAAAAATTTAGCAAGAACTGAATGCAGGTCATAACAAAAACGCCAGCTGAGAAGAGACGAGCAAACTTACCATGAGCCTAATTTGTGGGTACCAGTATTCTCGTACAAGAATCCAGGAAAAATTGACAAAGTCAGGACATAGATCAAGAACAAATCCAATAAGTAATCAATGTTCTGAAAAAACAATTGTTTGTTGCTCAGGCGCTCCAATTGTTTAGCACTATTATCAGCCTGTTCAGTTAACAGGAGTAGATCAAACGTAAGGTCAGAAAATCAGTAACAAAGTTTTTAGTTAAGGATAAGTTATGTACTCTTTTGGTTGCTTCAGTCTGGATGCCTGCTGCAGCTAAGTCCGCTGCAACCGTTTTTGATCCCTCTGCTGCTGCCTTTGTGCGGTAGTACTTAACGATTGGTAGCTTAGGAAAGATGAATGCATACAGAAGAATGCATAGAAATTCAAAGAATGTGGAGATAGCCAGGAATAACACTGCAAAATCAACAACCGCAAGATTCTGACAAAGGAAATGGACCAATTTTTCAAATAGAAACCACGTTACAAGTATTTCCTTTTTTTCATTTGCTATCTAAGGACAGGATTTCAGATCACGTACTAACTCCTTTGCGAAGACCGTTACTAGCCTTTTCAAAAGCTGCTTTAGTCACTAGCCTTAAAGCAGAGGTGAGAGCCCCAGAGGCAGCCAAACCAGCTAAGTACGACTGCAAATTCATAACAATCGCAATAAAACATTTTGCAAATGTGATTCAAGAATTATAATAGCAACTTACTACGTAGAAGAAAAATAGAATTTTGAATCTTACTTGGATGAATTCAGGGCACATGAAGGATAAATCTCCTACCATCCCACCTTCAACAAAAGCATCTGCAACTCCAAAAGCAGCGACTATAGCACATAAACCGATATAATTTCCAAGACCACCCTTTCCTGATGTGGTCAAATCCAACTAGTTCAAGACGTGAAAAGTAAAGTCAAACCTAGATAAACAAAAATTAGAAAAGAAAGAAGTGACTAGGAAAATCATTAGAACATACCACTAGGAGCGCGAATGTGGTTAAGAAGAAAAGAGTAAATCCAGCTAGGTTGCGCTTTCTTGTATCAATTCTTGCCTCATTATATGCAAGAATTGCCATTGTTGCAAGCGCAAACGGCTGATAAACGAGGGTAAGAACCCTTGAAGGATGGTATTTCTTCATTGTACATGACAAAATAAAACCAGTTAGCAGATATCTGAAATTTGGGGCCATTTTATTTGAAAAATTAATCAAGTCATTCGGGATTGCATCATTTCAACTTTTCTATGATTATACTGTAACGTAGTTATTACTAACCCATCTAACTACAAAATTTTCACTATTTGGAGGTCATAGGCTCACACAGCAACCTTGCTCTCACCTTTCATTCATACAAAAAGGGCCTAACTCTCCAAATGAAAGTCAATTAATAGAATCAATTCCAACAGCTTACAGTCTAGTGGTACTGGTGGGCAGTGGCAGAGCCAGGAACTTACACAACGTAATTCAAAAATATAATACGTTTAGGATATGAACCTGCAATGCAAAAGTAACCCTTTTGCCACTCTATAGAATCTTCCCTTAATAGTGTATATATAACCAAAAGAATTGTTTTTGCCCTATTATAGGGCATAATATTTCACAAATAATCGAACCCCTTGTCGGTAACCTAGCTCCACCTAAAATGGTGGTACTCTCTCGTACAATAGGTGTGTGTTCAATTCTCACTGTCCCTCTTCCACCTTCCCCCAATGTAACAAATTTTTTTTAAAAAAAATGTATATTGAAGGATTCAATGAAGATCTTTGCCCTTCTCTCTTCTTTGTATATATTCCAGTTACAACAACAAACACAGTGTACTCTCACAAGCGGGGTCAGGAGAAGGTAATGTGTACGCAGACCTTATGAAAAGATAGAGAAGTTGTTTCTGATAGACCCAAATGTGTACAAATTACAACTCTATTGGAAGAATAGATAAAACAAAAAGATGATTAAAGGGACACTCACTGGAAAAATTGCATAATAGTAATCTCCAATTGTAAGCATACTATTCCAAGCAACAAGTGACCCAAGTCCAAGAATCCAACATACCACCATTCCACTATATTTCCCCTGAAAATTCAGATACATATCTCAATCAATAACAGCAATTTAAATTGCAATCCCATTAATAGGATTAACAATAATAAGGGTAACAAAAATTGAGAGTCTGAAATAAACCTCAAGCCTAGTTGGACTTGAAATTCTGCTTGAATCAGCAACAGTCATGGCTGAACAAAGTATTTTATATCAACAATTTCCAACAAAGACAAAAACCACTAATTTATTTCTTCCCGTCTAAGCTTTGGTGAGCAGAATTACTCGAAATGTTATACACAAAATATCAAGAAATCATCTACAGCTTAATGGGAATGAAACTAAAAAGTTACTCATGTTTATATCCAAAAGATATTTTCTCAAAACAAATGGGAATGTAAAAGGCATTAAACTGAAATTCAGAAGAATAAGGAGGAAGAGGAGGAGGTTGGAGTTGTAAAATATCTTAATATAAATCTAATGTGAAAAACTATGAGATTGAATTATTATTGTACAGTCCGACTGGTAATCTAAATGCCAGTTTGTTAGCACTTATAATGGACAAGATAGAGGAAAAGGGCTGGCCCAATAAGAATATCCTACATTCCCGGCCCAATTGTAGTTTCCTTATTTTTTAGTTTAGTTTTATAGTCTCATTACTGTAAATATAAATACAGGGTTGTAATATTCATATTAAATATAGAAATAAGAAAGAAATGGGTCCAAGGAAACAGACCCTTCTTTTCTCTCTTTCCACTCATCTGTTTTAGGGTTTTCCTTCTCTCATTTCTGCCATAGCTCGTAAATCTTCAAGTTAACATGGTATCAGAGCGGGAATTCTGATTTCTCTCATCACGAGCTTCACTCCGATGTTACTCTCCATCTGCGTTTCCATCTATTCGAGCTTTGATCCATCCAGAATGACGAAATTGTCGAACAACATTTTCTACCGTTAATTTTTGGGGATTTCATCACCGATCGACTCCTAGTATCTTCATGGTGCCGGACATCTCGGATTTCATCAAATTTCGCACTCGATTTCGCCAAATCTAGTTTTCTAGGGTTTATACTTCAGAGAAGACTCTTCTTCTTCGAGTTTTAGAAGAAGGCTGGTAATATCCTTCTCGCTTTCAACTATAAAATTGTTCGGATTTGGTTGCATGTACTGGGATACATTCAGAAAACTTTCTCTTTGTTACATTGTAGATATTAGTGCTCATACTGTTCTGATTCAATTTAGCTAAGTTTCACGCTATGGGTAGTGTTATGGATAATCTAGGATCACCAAGTAGCACAACTTCTGATGGCTTCACACCTTTTACTCTGGATCCATCTCATCCACTGTATGTGCACCCTTCTGATAGTCCTGGTAGTCAATTAGTGGTTGTACCTTTCAATGGGTGTGGTTTTGTGCTCTGGAGAAGCAGTATGCTTACTTCTCTGTCTGCAAAGAACAAATTAGGGCTTTTAGATGGTAGAGTTCCCCAACCTACACCAGACTCCCCCTATTATCCGTATTGGGAGAGGTGCAATGACATGGTTAAGGCAAAGATCACTAATTCTGTGTCTAGGGACATTGCAACTAGTGTCATGTATCTTAAAACTACAAGGGAAGTCTGGAAAGACATTAATGATAGATTTGGTCAATCAAATGGTTCCAAGTATCTTCAAATTCAAAGAGAAATCAGCACAACCACTCAAGGCTCTTCTGATATTGCCACATATTTCACAAAGTTCAGGAGTTTATGGGATGAATTAAACTCTTCTTATGTGGGTCCTGTCTGCTCTTGTGGAGCCCTTCCAAAGTTCATAGAGGATCAGCAGTTATTTCAGTTCCTCAATGGTTTGAACGAGTCATACTCTACTCTGAAGAGTGCCATTATGATGATGAACCCTCTTCCTCCAATAAGCAAGGCTTATTCCCTGTTGCAACAAGATGAGAGTCAAAAGGAAGCTCTCTCCAGTGTTTCTAACTTCTCTGGTGACTCTGCCTCCTTTTCTGTGTCAACTGGTCAATCAACCAATAATAAAAATTTCACTCAAAGGGTAAATTTTGAATCCAGAAAGAATGTCAGTGGTCTATCTTGCAAATATTGCAAGAAACTTGGACACACAGTGGAAAAGTGTTACAGACTTCATGGGTTTCCCCCTGAGTTCAAGTTCACAAAGAACAAGAAATCTGCATCATGTGTCCAAGGTGATACTTCTCCTGTTATCAGTCAGACTCCAGGGATTTCTTCTCCAATTCATGGGTTTACCAGAGAACAATACCAGCACCTCCTGACTATGTTTCAACAAGTTCAAGTCTCTCTTGGTCCTGTTTCCAACACTCCTTCCATTGAGGACTCTGGTTTTGCTCATTTTGCAGGTTTGTTTACTGCTTATGCTGTAGAATCTGTAGACTCTCATGTATGTGCATCCTCACAGGCTAATGTGGATCCTTGGATCTTAGATTCAGGGGCCACTAATCACATGACTCCACACAAACACTTACTTCATGATATTGTACCTTTAGTTAGACCTTTTCTTGTTACCTTACCAAATGGTTATAAAGTAAAGGTTATATCAACTGGGTCCTTGCACCTGAGACATGATATAACTCTTCTCAATGTTCTTCTTGTACCTTCTTTTCATTTCAACTTAATCTCTATACATCAACTCATTACCCAACTTGACTGTATAGCAGTACTTACCAAGTTCCATTGTTATTTACAGGGCCCTTCTCTGAAGAGGCCACTGGTAATTGGTAAGGCTGCTGGAAAACTCTACTATCTACATCCAGATGCAGATTTGTTTCCCATTTCAGCTCATGTTTTGTCTCCCAATGCTACTACATCTTGTATAGATTCTAGTCTTACTGTAGGTTCTATTAATTGTAATAGGCCTGCATCAATTCCTCAATCTATACTTTCTTCACCTAAATGTAAACAGACTTCTGTTGTCAATAAAATGGATTTGTTTTGGCATCAAAGACTAGGTCATATGCCCTTTCATAAGATGCAATCTATTACTTTCTTATCTGATAAAGTATCCAGCAAACAAAATTTTATATGTCCTATATGTCCTATGGCTAGACAACAAAGGCTACCTTTTCATGGCAGCACTATTCATTCTACTAAACCTTTTCAGCTAGTTCACATTGATATTTGGGGTCCTTATAACACTAAAACTTATAATGGCTTCAGGTATTTTCTCACCTTAGTTGATGATTTTTCTAGAGTCACTTGGGCTCATCTCCTTTCTTCCAAAAGCAATGCCTTATCTGTTTTAAAAGCCTTCACCTCTATGGTAAAAGTACATTTTAACTCTTCAGTTCACACTTTCAGATCAGATAATGCTTTTAAACTTGGGAGTAGTGTTGAGGCTTCCACTTTCTTTGCTTCTCAAGGCATATTGCATCAGACCACCATTCCACATACCCCACAATAGAATGGTGTTGTGGAGAGAAAACACAAACATTTATTAGAGGTTTCCAGGGCCCTTTTGTTCCAATCTAAACTACCTATGTCATTTTGGGGTGATTGTGTTTTGACTGACACTTATCTTATAAATAGGATGCCTTCACCTCTTCTGCTCAAAGTTTCTCCTTATGAAAAGTTGCATGGGTGTCCACCATCTTATGATCACTTGAGGTCTTTTGGTTGTATGTGCTTTGCAACTTCCCCTAAATTTGGTAGGAATAAATTTCAATCTAGAACTATACCTTCTATATTTCTGGGTTATCCTTGTGGTAAGAAAGGTTACAAATTGTTGAATATGTCCAATTCTTCAGTGTTCTACTCTAGGGATGTCATATTCCATGAACACATCTTTCCCTATTCTTCCTCTTCCTCCCCTTCTCTTTCTTCTATTTTCCCTTCACCATTTGTGGACATCTCATCTTCAGAACCTCTTATCTCTTCTCACCCTGCTCCTTCTTCTATTGTTCCTCCTCCTGTTATCACCCCTGTTTCAACAAAGGCTACCTCTCCTGTCATTGATCCACCTGAACCCATTCCTGAACCTATTCCTCCATATGCTACCCCCCCTTTAAGGAAATCCTCCAGAACTATCACTCAGCCTGCCTACCTCAAAGACTATGTCTGTTCTTCTGTCACCTCCAATCTTTCCTCCTCTACTATTTCTCTAGTTTTGCCTAGTGAAGCACACATGCATGAACCTCAGTTCTACCAGCAGGCTGCCTCTCATCCTGCTTGGCAGGAGGCTATGATAAAGGAATTCAATGCTCTTGAAGCAAATCAGACTTGGGACATTGTTCCCCTTCCTCCTCATAAAAAGGCTATTCCTTGTAAGTGAGTTTATAAGATCAAATAGAGGGCTTCTGTTGAGAGGTACAAGGCCAGGTTGGTCATTAGGGGTGATACTCAGAGGGAAGGCATTGACTTTACTGAGACTTTTTTCCCTGTTATCAAACTCACCACCATCAAATGCCTGTTGACTCTTGCCATCAAAAGAAGATGGACTGTGTTCCAGTTGGATGTCAATAATGCATTCCTCCATGGTGATCTTCATGAGGAAGTTTATATGNCTTTCCTAGTGAAACTAGGGCAGAAATTTTGTTCGTTTGTTTTGTTGTCTCAGCAGGTCTGACCCTGAGGTGCGTGGATCGAGACGACCTACGGGGTGAGTCTCAATCCAGAATAAAGAAAAGAACAAAAGAACAAAAGAAAAAAAAAAGATGTTCCCACATATTGGAACAAACAAAGGGCAGGTCGCTCAAAAAATTGGATCAAATTCCCGAGCTCCGCCAATCCCGTTTCATTAAATACTGCAGAAATAAACAAACGCCTACAACTTGCGAGCAACAAGATTCGGATCGAAGTCTACAAGCAGAATTAGCTGAGACCATAGATCAAGTTGCAAAAGAATTATAGATAGGAATCTTGTAACTAGCGGTTGACAGGCATAAGTAGTTAGTTCAGTTTCAATTTCCTTTGGTACTAATAAGGAGGTCATTAAAGCAGTAGTGGCAACAGCAACAGCAGTAACATCAAGCATTGCAATCCCATGGTAGTCCCAGCTACCAAAATTTCCCGAACTACATTGACCTGATTCCTGTTTAGCCCAGGATATGTAGGAAACCTTTGAAGCAAAGGTTCGGTCAAATCTTTTTCAAAAAATGCTTCAACGGAGTACTCGGATGGGCAAAAATCGCTCGCTTTATCTTTGCACGAAAACCCTTCGTGTCTTCGGGCAAAGAGGGGCAGCTGTAAGCACGATGATTTTTGCCCTATATGAGAATTACTCTCAAAAATTCAAAAATAAAATGATTTTTCTTTGGTGTGCAATTTTGTGATATTTTGAATAATTATTTGTATTTGTCTGTGCGTGTTTATTTGCTAAATTAATAAAAAATACAAAAATATGTCGCATTTTGCATGTAGGATTTAATTCTACAATTGTTAGTAATTAAATTTGTTTTACAAAAATAAAAAATTACAAAAATAGGCATCGTTTGCATTTTTAGCATTTAATGTCCAAATATACAGTTTTATGCTTAATTATTATTTAATTGTGCGTTAATTGATACTGGGAGTTAATTTGCGCTTTTATAACTTAATTTAGTTTTTAATAATAGTTTAAGTATTTTTAT